GAGGTAGGAGACTCGCTTGAGCCCAGGAGTTGGAGGTTGCTGTGAGCTATGCCATGGCACTCTAACCAGGGGGATAGCTTGAGGCTCTGTCTCAAAAAAATAAAAAAATAAAGATGTCAGGTTTCTGTCAATTTAAAAAAAAAAAAAAAACAAAAACAAAAAAACAAACAAAAAAAACCCTTGGTATAATTAGGAATTTAACTTAACTTTTAGTGTTATCTAACTTTTCTCTAAAACTTTGAACACCTTCAATAAAATAATACCCAAAATTGATTAATTAATAAAAAGAAACTTTAGGCTTTTCAGAAGTACTATACCATGCTTCTTCACATCAGCCAAATAGATTCATTAGACCTGGTGTCCAAAATTCCGAAACAATGAAACAAATTATAAACTTTTTGAAAAATAAACTTGGAATAAGCCTTTTATTAATATTCATGACAAAACCTATTCTTTGATGGTTTACAGTATACAAAAGACTTTGTTTATAAATTTTAATTTCCCAATCATGTTGACAGACAATAACAAATAAGTAAACAGAAGCTTCCCCCTCTATAAGGAAAACTTGATACATGGTATAAAATACTCTCCCCTTAAACAAACATAACAAAATACTCTCCCCTTTGATCAACATCATATAGAAGGGTATTAGCTTACTCCTAGAGATAGAAAATTTGTGACTGGATGTGACTTATAGAATTTTTCCAGCCTTGCCATTGGCTTAACTGCCAGGGCTACAATTGAGCATTAACTTCAATGAAAATCTGTTTTTCTTTTTAAGTTTCAGAAGGAATCTATATTCCAGACTTTAAAATTCTCAAGTTCTTCATAACTTTTCTCCTTTCACTTTGACAACTATCATATAAATAGTATGTCTAACAATCTAGTGAAACAGAGGATAAGCAAATGCAGTTGCCTACAACTGAGATGAGATGTCAGGAAAATCACAGACAGGAAAACGAACTGTGGTGCAGATTTCTTTCTGAAGTGGAATTTTATGGAATAGGCAAACCCTCATAGATTTTCAAATAAAAAAATTGCTATAAAATATTTTCAACTTAGCTTGTCAGGGTGCTAAAAATAAATTTATTATGATACCTCAATACTGGGCAGTGCTAATTTTTTTTTTTTTTAAGAGACACAGTCTCACTTTATCGCCCTTGGTAGAGTGCCATGGCGTCACACAGCTCACAGCAACCTCCAACTCCTGGGCTTAGGCGATTCTCTTGCCTCAGCCTCCCGAGTAGCTGCGATTACAGGTGCCCGCCACAATGCCTGGCTATTTTTTTGTTGTTGCAATTTGGCCGGGGCCGAGTTTGAACCCGCCACCCTCAGTATATGGGGCCGGCAGCCCACCCAGGGAGCCACAGGCGCCACCCAACAGTTGCTAATTTTATCTAGGAAGTCTGATAAACTTAAGAAATTTTTAAAACTCATTCAAATATAATTTAACCAACAAAAATTGTCTTTCTGCTTTAACCTATGAAAATTTATAAAAATTTTAAATGTCATTACATGACTGAATGATAAAAAAGGAATTAGAGCATCAACGTCAAGCTTGCTTCTCACTTTCTCCCACTTCCCAACTATAACAGTGGTTTAGAAGTTTACCTGGTCTCAGAGCTGGGCCTGGAGAACTAACCTCAATGGAAGTGGGTAAATGTTCCCATTATTTCAAGACTATTCATTTTATGACAATTACTCTGCTCTTTTCAATACAAACTTCATTTTCCTCGTTAGAAGTAAATAAAGTAAAATAGGAGTAACCATGTGCCTCATATGTAACACTACATCATGTTTCCCAAGTTGTGAGTTCAATAAGCTACCACAAGATCACTACTTATGTTTTTCCTCCTGAATGCTTCTTGAATATAGCAAAAAGCTCTTTTTTTTTTTTTTGGTAGCTTTTAACATCTTTGGTACACTTCATTGCATGTCACTTCTTTAAATTCAGAAGAGTCATTTCAAAAGTCAAATGACTATGAGCTTCTTGAAGACAAGGACTATGCCTGATTCAAGTCTTCATCAGCTGTGCCCTTACTCTGTTCTCAACTGCACTCTGAAGTACTAGTAAATGAATAAACAAACAGATAAAATGCTATTATCATATCTGTAACCTTGAAGGAGTCATGTAACTTCTAGGAATCTTATAATTTTCTCATCTGTAAAACGGGAATAAAATACTGGCTATTCTCACACAATTGTCAAGAATCAATAAGCAAAATCTAAGGGAGAATCTTACAAATTCTAAGGAACCACACAAATATAAGTTAACCATTTTCCCCCATTAGTTCTAGTCTCATATCAAAAGTCTCCTTATGTAATCATGTCTCCAGATAGCTCCCACTCTTCTTTCTGATCAGGTGTCCACAAACAAATACTAAATTTCCACAGAAATACATTATATATCATATAGAAATATGACTATTCACTTAAGTAATGTCACTCAAAACAAATCAGTATATATAAAGCTTAAATTAGAAACTATGTCTATTATGGCATTTAAAAAGTTATTTCATACAAAGTAAAACTGAAAGTTTAACTCACCGCACATTTTTCCACTTTGCCAGCATCATTGGCCCATTTTACTAAAGCTAACAATCGCACGAAGAGTTGGCGTGTCCGGCTAGCAAACTGCACTATTTCTATTTTCCTATAAAATAAAACAACTCTTAATGAACCGACATTTTAGAAAGTGTATTTCAGAATTTATTTCATTGGAGCCAAAAAATAAATCAATCTTTGTTTACAACCACAACAACAAAATGAACAACCTAAAATACTTATCTAAATACGAATTACTGTTATTCTGTATACCATCTGCATATGCTTTATTTTCACTTCAGAATAATAACCCCAATAGAATGTTTTAGCAATGAATCACATTTTAAAATTAGTTTTATATTGTAGTAACGGTTGTTTACTAAACTATACTAAGTTCATTGACATATGGCAGAAGTTAACTAGCTCACAGAAGGGAGCTAACTTCTTCTGTTTCCCTTCCTACTCCAGAGCAAACAGTTACTAATTACTATTGCTAGTAATTAGTAACTCTTTCAGTAAGAGAAAAGAATTAAAACAGATCTTTGCCAAAGCTTGAAACTGTATTCTTTCCACAGAAGCAATGGCCCATTTCCCATCTTGCAAGAGCATGAATTACAAAATTGAATTAAAGGCCTTCAAAAAAAAAAAAAAAAAGACCTGAACTATTCAACTCTACCAAACTAATTTCAATGACAAACTTAAATACATTAAATATTGTCCAAGCAAAGTGAATGTTAAATACTAAAAATAAAAGGAAGACGGTCTGTCCACATCTATGCTACACCTACTACTACGTTTTTCCCCCCAATATTCATCAGTACTTTTAATATCTATTCCTAAAGCCTCCAAATCAATGTGTTAGTTGGACTTCTCAACTTCAGAACAACTACAAAACTAATGATCATACCTTTCCTAATTTCCCTTAAGACACTGAAAAAATAATCAACTGGCCAAGACCCAGAAGACACCAATTTCCCTCCATATGGATTCTGACCTATTAATCTTTTTTTTTTTTTTTTTTTGAGACAGAGCCTCAAGCTGTCCCCCTGGGTAGAGTGCCATGGCATCCCAGCTCACAGCAACCTCCAGCTCCTGGGCTCAAGCGAGTCTCCTGCCTCAGACTCCCAAGTAGCTGGGACCACAGGCGCCCGCCAGAACGCCCGGCTATTTTTTGGTCGCAGCCATCATTGTTGTTTGATGGGCCCAGGCTGGATTCAAACCCGCCACCTTGGGTGTACATGGCTGGCGCCTAAGCCACTTGAGCCACAGGCGCCCAGCCTGACCTATTAATCTTATAATTAATCTTAGTACAGTTGTTCAGTGGCGTATAGAAACAATCTGTATCTCTGCGTCTTGCCAATAACACCATCATGATGCAATGCATCAAAATAAAAGTTTTTATTGAAGTACAATCCTGACTGAGAGCTACAGAGTCTAGCTCCCATTGAGAAAACATACTTAGCCCACAAACAAACTGAAAGGCTTCCTTAAAGATCAGCCAACAATATGATTAGTAGTACTATAAACAGAAGAATCAAGGGCACAATTACAACTCTTTTGCCAGTGTCTTTGAAGGATCATAAGAGATGAAATAAGAGTATCATGGGCAAGACACAAAGAAATATTAAATGTACATTAAGACCTGGCAGCCACATTAGGGTACTGTCACTCTAACTCACCAAAGGCTTACAAGGAATGCAAGATCTTTGCTTTTCTCTAAGAGCAAACATACTTGTACATTAATTCAGTTTCCCAAATGCATTTCTCTCCTAGAATGGAGACATCCCCTTTTCTAAATTATTGTAACATGGTTTGCTGATATCATGTTATCTCAAGTGATAAGTAACGTGAGTCAGTTTTCCAAAGGTTCAGTTTCCCTTCCTACTCCAGAGCAGACAGAACAAACCTTTGCCTTATGTTTTCTTCCTTTAAAATGGACCAGCTAAACCATACACAGGTGTGCTTCAACTGTCTCTTCCACCTCTACCTTTTTTTTATCTAATTCTATCAAAAAGGTAAGTTTGGCTTGGCAGTAGAATGTAGCCACTGATAATGCAAGCCCTCACCATGACTTGGTATTAAAAAATAAATCAACCAAGGAGTATAAGTAGTGCCATAGATATATGGTCAAGTAGCATATACTGTAGTCACAATTTAAATCTCCATCACATGATTTCTTTGAAACCTTAATTTATTGTGTTCATTTGGCCTATGGAAACATACTAATGTTTAGTTAAGTCTTAAGCCCCAAACTCCAACTAAACTAAAATTTTCTCAATTATAAAACAATAGCAGTAGGCAAACATCAATTCTCTAAATATATCTAATAACATCATTAGCAAATGGCAAATGGGTAGCCAAATTTCTAAAGTCAGTCTGCTCCCCAGACTCTTCCATTATGGACTTTATCTTCCTTTTTTTTTCTTTTTTTGCCGTTTTTGGCCAGGGCTGGGTTTGAACCCACCACCGCCACCTCTGGCATATGGGGCCAGCACCCTACTCCTTTGAGCCACAGGCGCCACCCTGGACTTTATCTTCTTCATCTTCCTACTCCCTCAGGTACCTGACCAGATCAGTCACTCAACAGCCACTCAATAAAGGTCTGCAGAATAGAAGCCCTAAAACTGGTTGCACACCAAGTATTGTCAAGGATGACAAAACTACATTTCCCAGGACTCCCTAAATACATGGCATGAAAAATCACCCTAGGCCCTTTTGGCCTAGGTGTCCAATCCACAGCTCTTTACCACCCATTATCCACACACCCACATCCACAGTCATAGATCAATCAATAAAGACACAGATTTAAGATCTTTTCATACTCACCTTTCCACATCAGATTTCCTTGGAAGTCTAAGAAGAAGAAAAGATGAAATTGATTAAACATATGATTACCTTCATCAGAATGTAATACTGGTCTTTATTTTGACTCTATTAAATACCTTAGTATTTCAGAAAAGCCAGGTAAACAACTACTACAAGCTTGTACAGCTACCTAATTTTTATGAGTTTCCAAGAATACGGCTGTAAGGGAAAAACCAACAAAGGAACATTTCTCTCCATTCAAAATGTTTCAAGAAGTATTGCATGAACTTTAAACATTTTAAAAAGCCCAAATCTCACACTAGCACACTATATCATAAGAGTCAAAGAAAATGCTCTTTTTTTTTTTTGGCCGGGGCTGGGTTTGAACCTGCCACCTCCGGCATATAGGACCAGCACTCTACCCTTTTGAGCCACAGGCCACGCCCCAGAAAAATACTCTTTTAAGACCAAAATGGTCAGGCTTGGAGGCTGTGGCTCAAGTGGCTAAGGCGCCAGCCACATACACCTAAGGTGGCGGGTTCAAATCCAGCCCAGACCTGCCAAACAACAATGATGGCTGCAACCAAAAAATAGCCAGGCGTTGTGGCGGGTGCCTGTGGTCCCAGCAACTTGGGAGGCGGAGGCAGGAGACTCACTTGAGCCCAGGAGTTGGAGGTTGCTGTGAGCTATGCCAGGGCACTCTACCCAGGGGGACAGCTTGAGGCTCTGTCTCAAAAAAAAAAAAAAACATCAAAATGGTCACAGATGTACAAGTGCCAGCCTCTCTGTATCGAATGGATAAATACCTTGCTTCCAAGCAAATCCCATGTTTTGTTACAGTGGGCAAAACTAGAAGTTAGGCACACAAAAGGCCAATGTCAATCAAGGGTTTTACAGTAATTATGATGTTGCGTGGTAGTTAAATGAAAAGATTTGTATTACTGGCAGTGCCCATAGCTCAGTGGGTAGGGTGCCGGCCACATACACCGGGGCTGGCGGATTTGAAACCAGCTCGGGCCTGCTAAACAACAATGACAACTGCAACAAAAAAATAGCTGGGTGTTGTGGCGGGTGCCTGTAGTCCCAGCTACTTGGGAGGATGAGGCAAGAGAATCGCTTAAGCCCAAGAATTTGAGGTTGGTGCAAACTGTGATGCCACGGCACTCTACTGAGGATGACATAGAGACTCCATCTCAAAAAAAAAAAAAAAAAAAGAAAAGATTTGTATTACCTTTTTTTCATTATTTTTTTTACAGTCTCATTCTGTTACCCAGTCTATAGTGCAACGTCAAACTCCTGGGCTCAGGCAATCCTTCCCCCCCCAAGTAGCTGGGACTACAGGTGCATGCCACCATGCCCAGCTAATTTATTTTTTGTAGAAACAGGGTCTCACTATGTTGCCAAGGCTGCTCTCAACTCCTGGCCTCAAGTGGTCCTCCTGTCTCAGCCTCCCAAACTGCTGGAATTACAGGTGTGAGCCACTGTGCCCAGTCTGTATTACTTTTAAACAGCTCAAATAGGGTTTTGATTTCTTTTTTGCTAGTTCTCCAATACTGATAGTTGGCAACCAATGGTAACTTCTTCCCTGATAAACTATACCATTTAATACTCTCACATCCACTGATATTTAGAAAGGTCCCGATATGCCTCCTGAATCGCTACTCTGTTAACCTCTACCCCCTAGTCCAAGATTCAATGGCCTTATCAACTCTCATGCCTCCCTCATATCTATCAATTCTTAAAAAATGCATGCCCAGTCACTTAGATCTTCTATGTCCCATAGAAAAAGAAAAACTAAAACTACTTTCAGAAGTTCAAAGTACAAGGAGGGAAAACTATTAAACTGAGTTCTGGCTTGTAGTTACCTGCTATTCTTAGGTCACACAATGGAATGGAAACTAAATTTATGATCAGAGTGATAAAGGGAACTAGGTAGGGGCTAGAAAGGCCAATAGACCAGACGGATAAGCACAAACTAAGGTTCTATTAAAAGACTGCAAATAAAAACGGCCTGTGAAGGTTCCTCTACACGCCAAAGCTCCTGAGAAGACTCCTTGAGAAACCACAGCCCTTGTAAGACAGGGAGAGAATAAGAACGATGGGTTCAGGGATGGAGGATAGGGGTGGAAGTACAACCTTTGAAGGCAGAAAGAACAGAAATCATTGTTCCAGCTCCTTCCACCTGCCCCAAAGATCCTAAAAGGATCATCTCACATCAGAGGTGATACCATTTCAAGGACAAACGACAGGTTTTGCTGCCTGCCCCCCTTTCCCCTATTCTTCCTAATCTATTTAAAAATCTTTTATGGATAGGAAGTCCACCATTGAGAGTAAACGTCCTAACAAGCAAGTGTTTGGAAGTAAAGCACATAAACTTATTTACACCAAAGTGCAATAAGACAAGTTTACATGACTGATTTCCTGGCATTTTTTGATTTTAATTAAAAAAGGTTTTTAAAAAGGAGAAAAATTGAGGTTCCTAAAATGTCAAGGTAGAGAATAAACTCTAGTATGCAAGCATATATGTTGGGTGAGAAGGGAAATAGACAAGAAGGGAAAAAAACCCAGAAATCGGGGGCCAAAACGAAACCACCTAAATGGACAAGGTTGTCTCATTTACATTCAAGAGCTCACTAACATAAAAAGTTGCAAAAATTAGTAACCATGTCCTTAAAGACTCTTAAAAAGCATACAAAGAATACTGGCTTGAGATACACAAAAATCAAGAAACATAAAATCCACACAGAAAGAAACAAATAAAGCCCTTTTAGCAACACCAATAAGCGGAGCAAGCTGAAACTTCCCCGGGTGAATCAGAAAGAACACTGTCAACTATTTCTTGGAAGTGAAATAATAGAACATAACATAGTCTGTCTCAAAACTTTTGTGGTGACCTACATATATTAATCTTTATAGTCTCTACCTGGAACAAGTAAAAATGCACTTTTTACAGACTTTCATAGTAAATTCTTAAACTAATTTTGGTTGCTACAAATCAAAAGTAAAAAAAAATTATTTTATATAATTATACATCAAGAGCAACAGGGACTTTTCCCATGGCTTATGACAATTATTTTTATTTATTGATTGATTTTGAGACAGAGTCTCACTTTCTTGCCCTGGGTAGAGTGCCATGGCATCATAGCTCACAGCAACCTCAAACTCTTGGGCTCAAGTGATCCTCTTGCCTCAAGCTCCCAAGTAGCTGGGACTACAAGCACCCACCAAAACACCTGGCTATTTTTTAGAGACAGGGTTTCACTGTTGATCAGGCTGGTCTCGAACTCATGGGCTCAGGCAATCCACTTGCCTCAGCCTCCCAGAGTACTGGGACTACAGGTGTGAACCATGGCATCCAGCCTGACAATTATTTTTTAAAGAATTTTTTTTTTTTTTGAGACAGAGTCTCAAGCTGTTGCCCTGGGTAGAGTGCCGTGGCATCATAGCTCACAGCAACCTCAAACTCTTGGGGTTTTGTTTTTTCTTTTTGGTTGTAGTTTTCATCATTGTTGTTTGGCAGCCCGGGCTGGATCTGAACCCGCCAGCTCTGGTGTATGTGGCTGGTGCCCTAGCCGCTTAAGCTATGGGCACCAAGCCCAAACTCTTGGGCTTAAGTGATTCTCTTGCCTCAGCCTCCCAAGTAGCTGGGACTACAGATGCCCGCCACAATGCCCAGCTATTTTTTGATTGTAGTTGTCATTGTTGTTCGGCAGGCCTGGGCTAGATTCGAACCCGCCAGCTCTGGTGTATGTGGCTGGCGCCCTAGCCACTGAGCTACAGGCACCAAGCCTTAAACAATTTTTTAATTGATGCATTAAAAAAGTACATAGTTTTGGGGTACATGCTATTTAATACATTTATAAAATATGTAAAGATTAAATCAGTGTACCTGGGATATCCATCACCTTAAATATTTGTTTTTTCCTTATGCTAGAAATATTCAAATTATTCTCTTCTAGTTGTATTGAAACATACAACAGATTATTGTGAACAACGGTCATCCTACTGATCTGTTGAACACTAGGTCATACACTCGTTTACAACAATTCTAAAAATTCATTCATTTATGTATTACATCAATAAATAATTAAGCACCAGCTATGTGCTGGGCTTTGTTCCAGCCCATGGGAAAGTAGCAAACAAATCAAAATCTCTGGTTGCTTCTCCTTCTCTCCTCATGGACCTTCTATGAGGAAGGACAGGACAGAAAACAAACTAATAATGTCAAGTGGCAATAAGTGCTACGGAGAGGGGTGGCACCTGTGGCTCAGTGGGAAGGGCACCAGCCCCATATACTGAGAGTGGCGGGTTCAAACCCAGCCCTGGCCAAACTGCAACAACAAAAAGTGCTATAGAGAAAAAGCAGCTAGTTAAGTTAGAGTGAAGGGGCAGAGTACTATCCCATGAGTGTTCAGAGGTCTTTATGGTAAGTTACATGGGAACAAAGACCTAAAGGAAATGAGAAGGCAAACGACACAGATTCTGGGGAAAGAGCAAAGGTTCTAAGTTGGGAGCATGCTGTGCATTACTAAGAAACATCAAAGGTAGTGTGGCTGGAAAAGAATAAGCAAGGAGAGTTTGAGGACATGAACTTAAAGAGGTAAAGGAGAGAACACAGATCACGTGGAGTCTTTTTTATTTTTATTTTTTTCCATATATAATCTTAAAGGTAAGATAACCCCCCATCTCATGATTTGCTCAAAATAGTTATGGCTTATGCCTGTTCTGACATTACTAACAGCCCCACCTTTCATGCTCAGAAGTGTCCCAGTTTGGACCATAAATGTTACAGTCACAATATACAGGTGATTATAAAAACTTTTTATTTTAAGTGAGACAGGGAGCCGCTGGAGGTTTTTGAATTGAGAAATTCTATAAAGGATCATCCTGGCTATTTTATGAAGAAGAAACTGTGGGGGGATAAGGAGCAAGTAAAGACACCAGTGAGCAGGCTATCGTGGTAACACAGGAGAATGATTAGATAGGTGGTGTGAACCAAACTCAGTGGAAGCTTCAGAAGTAGTCAGATTCTGAAGTCAGGTCTTACTCATGTACTGTGTAAGGATATAAAGAAAGAGGAGCCAGAAATTACTCCAGAATTTGTGGCCTGAACACCAAGATACTATTTAGTGACATAGCAAAGAAAATTTGGGGGGTGGGGGTATGGAATCAGGAGTTTGGTTCTGGACTTGGTATGTAGAAATGGCCATTAGATACCCAAACAAAGCCACTTGGACAGAGTCTAGTGTTCATCAGAGAGGTTCGTGCTGGAGATAGAAATATGGGGAAGCACCATTATATAAAGAGCATAGAACTATAACCACATACATATGCTACAGCAATAACACATATATTTCTCTCTTCATAGATCAAGCCCTAAAATAGTAAAAAGAACAATATGATTCAAGGAATTTCTACCAATCTTCTATGGAAAAGCAAATTACACAGCCACTGATAGCAGTTTTCAAAAATTTTTCACACAGCTCTACATAAGACAGGTGACCTTCACAAAAACAAAACTTTCTCACGAATATTCCTGAATTTTTATGAAACCCAACAATAAATGGTGCAGAGAAGTGTATTACTACACTAATCCCTATTCATAACAGCTATTTAAAGTTCATATAGGACAAGGGTAGTGTTCTTTACCTCTTTGTCACATTCAATAAAGCACATCAAAACTGAGAATGTGGAACCTATTCTAATCCTTTTAGTCACCTACAAATATTTTAAGTAACAAATTGTGACACTTTACAGCTTAATATCTGCATACTAATGTATTTCAAACTAAGCTGGAATAAAACTAATTCTGATTTACTTTTCTGAACCTGGGTTATAAAGATGTAAAATAGTCCCAGAATTTTATAGTGGCCTTTTCTTCACATACTGAAAATCATTAGTATATTTTGATCCTATTCTGAAGGGATTAACACCTTAATCATGCCCCAAGGCATTTCACAGGTAACTAGGACTCCCAAGGGATAACAGCATCCTAATTACAAAAAATATTTTACTTATACTAAATTCATGAAGATATCAAACACTCAAACGTTTCAGAAAAAATACTTGAGAATCCAAAATTTTGGATTATTTTTATTTTTTTCTTTTGTAGAGACAGAGTCTTACTCCCAAGGCGTCACACAGCTCACAGCAACCTCCAACTCCTGGGCTTAGGCGATTCTCTTGCCTCAGCCTCCCGAGTAGCTGGGACTACAGGTGCCCGCCACAACGCCCGGCTTTTTTTCTTTTTTTTTTTTTGCAGTTTTTGGCCGGGGCTGGGTTTAAACCCGTCATCCTCGGTATATGGGGCCAGCGCCCTACCCACTGAGCCACAGGCGCCGTCCGGATTATTTTATACGTAACTTGTGCGTTCAAATTTAGAAGCAATTACAGCCTACCTTTAATAAAATGAATTGTCAAGAAGCTGTAAAACAGATTTCTCATCTTTGGGATTTTTTTTAAAAATTCGAATATTATGTATTCCTAAACCCTGAACTCTGATGTTGGGCTTGGCAAAAAAGCTTCCAGCCACGAAATCAATGGGTTCTGTCAGGAACTTGGACAAAAATCTCCGATCTGTTAAAGTCTAACAACACGCAAAATTAGCAAGTCTCGGTTGCTTCATCGCCCGAAAGAACCCAAATACAAAGCTTCTCCTCTACCTCCGCTGAACACCCTGAATTAAAAAATTCTAGACTAAACAGCCCAGCGGAGAAAACAGCAGCCTCTTGGGGGACAGGGCGCGCAAAGCTCTCCCGGCCGGTTGGGCGGGAAAGGTTCGGGGGAGGCTGGGGAACAGGCTTGGGTTTCCCCGCACTTACAGGTCAGTCAACACCATGAGCTCCGAGTAGGCCCGGTGCAGCAGAAATTCAATGAGGGTGCTCAGCCGGTAGCCAGGGCTAGCTGCGGCCGCAGCTGCTGCTGCCACGGCGGCTCCCGGAGGAGGAGGAGCCGGGGCTGACACCGGGCCACTGCTACCCGCGCCGCCGCCTCCGGGCTGGACCAGCTGGTGGTTCTCCAGCTGCACTGGGGCCATGGCGGTGTAGGGTCGGCCTTGGCGGCACGGCACAAGATGCGACCCTCGAGCCTCCTGGGCGCTCGGTCACCGCGCCAAACGGGGCGCAGGCAGAGTCCCCAACGCCTACCGCCGGACAGCCTCTGAACAGGAAGCCGTGCGCCTACCGCGGAAGTCCGTCTCCATGTAGCGACGAGTCCGCTGGCCCCAGGGACTGGAGCGAGGAGCAGGAGGCGGCGAGGGGCGGGTAGGGAGGGAGGGGGAGCGGGGCGGCAGCCACGGAGAAGCTGCACCTCCACAACTGCTCAGAAACCGCCCCACCAGGCAGCCGCAACGTCCATGTTGACGGCCCAAAGCGGAAGTCACTAGGTAAAGCGGAAGGAGAATCTGCGGGGGGTCTTCCAACAGAACCTGCTTTTCTCCGCGCGCGGCGAAGCCGGTGGGTGCGTGGGAGTAGGGCGGAGTCCGCGCGCGCGGGAAAGCGGAAAAGGGGACCGCGCACCGCCGGAAGCCGCGCTGGTCACTGCGAACGTCAGTAGGTGCCCCGCCCTAATACTCGTCGCTCCCCTTGTCTGCCCCTGGCGTTTTCAAAGGGACAAATTCCCCTGAGGAATGGATGGAGGCACTGACACGGCCGGGAAGGCCTTCCCTAGATGTTTGTCAGTTCTGGCTCTGGCTTGGCGAAGAAATTGTAGTAGCTGTCCGCTTGTGATTTCTCAAGTCTTTGCTCCTCCCACAGATGTCCGAGACGCGCGTTTCGTGGGAGAGAGAACGTTTGCGTCCTTTTTTTTTTTTAAACTGTGGGAAAAGATGCGAGAAAATATGATTGGGGATAGGAACCAAGTCGCTGGCAGAATAAGTTAACTTTAATAGAGCTAGGTATATGCTGAGTTCATTACAGCCCTCTAAATCCCATCAGTTCAACAAAGAAACGACCCTTAAATCCTTTGCTGCTGGCTTTCATTAGCTTTTTGTCCCTGCTCCAGCTGTAGCCGCCCCGACCTCAAAGGCTTTCGGTTAATTTTCTATGCTTACTGCCACTTTCTCCGTCGAAATCCACTTTTAACTTTTTAAACCTGCTTTAAAACTCTGATTCTGAACCTTGACTGCATTTTGGAATTACCGGGGAGGGCTTTAAAAACTGAGTCTCCCCTCGTGGATTCAGATTTAATTGATATGGTGTGACGCCTGGGATTCGGGAGTTTTATAAGTTTTCCAGGTGATTCTAATGTGGAGCTAACAGATTCACTTAAAACGGTTGCTGCGACCCTTTTCAAACATCTTTTTGCAACTTCATCTCTAACTTTCACATGTAGGACGCTTGTGCTGTTCCCTAAGGTTAGAATACTCACAGTGTCCTCCACTTGTGTAATCCTTTGTCATTCTTGAAAGCCATTCAACAGTGTTTTTTTAAGTTGTGATCTCTGGGGTTTAACTCACTTGTTTCTTCCCTTTGTGGTTCTAAAGCACATTTACACAGAACATCATTATGTTACTTATACATAGGAACTATGCATTAGGAAAGGCCAGGTGCGGTGGCTTTAACGCCTGTAATCCTAGTGCTCCAGGAAAGCCCAGGCGAGAGGATCAGCCGGGAGGATCCTGGAGACCAGTCTGAGGAACAAGAGGGAAGCGGGAAGCTCCATCTCTACCTCTTTTTCTTTTCTTTTTTTTTTTTTTGAGTCAGAGTCTTGCTGTGTCGCCCTCGGTAGTGCTGTGGAGTCACAGCTCACAGCAACCTCAAACTCTTGAGTTTAAGGGATTCTCTTTCCTCAGCCTCCCAAGTAGCTGGGACTACAGGCGCCTGCCACAACGCCCGGCTATTCTTTGTTGCTGTTGTCCTTGTAGTTTAGCTGGCCAAGCTTGGTTCAAACCCGCTAGCTTCGGTGTATGTGGCTGGCGCCGAAACCTCTGTGCTACGGGCACCGAGCCGTCCCCGTCTCTACTTTTAAAAACCAGGTGTGGTCAAACTGTGGTATATGTACACCATGGAATACTATGCAGCCATTAAGAAGGATGGAGACTTTACATCCTTCATGTTCACATGGATGGAGCTGGAG